GAGAGAGAGAGAGGGGTCCGGATCCGTATGGATCATTCATGGACCAGTGTATGTATTGCATGATTTTTGTGGGTGTGTGAGAGTGGGAAAAGGGGCGGGGATGGGGTGTGTCAAGGGGTGTGCAGAAAGCAGAAACATCAAGGACGCTGGGCCCGTTTCCAACCACGTGTTGCTCCCACGAATAGATTGTGGTAGTGATAGTAGGAGTAAGAGGGGGCCAGGAGGAGGAGGAGAATGGGGAGGAGTACAGGGACGAAGAGTGATAGCAGCTACTAGTAGGAGGAGGAGGAGTGAAGGAGTGGAGGAGGAGTAACAGCAGCCACCAACAGTAGTAGTAGAACGAGGAGTAGTGACAGCAGCCGCTGGTAGTAGTGTAGCCATTACCATTAGTGTTAGCAGTAGGAGGGGGGGGAGGAGAAGCAGCAGGAGGAGGAGGAGGAGGAGGAGGAGGAGGAGGAGGAGGAGGAGGAGGAGGAGAAAGTGGACAAGTAGGAGGAGTAGGAAGAGGAGTACTAGTAGTAGTAGGAGGGGGAGGAGTGACAGTAGCCACGAATAGTAGTAGTAGGAGTGACGGAAGAGGAGGAGGGGGAGGAGGAGGACGGCGCCGACGACCAGTAGTGACAGAAGCCACCAGTAGTAGTAGTACTAGTACTTGTAGCAGTAGTAGGAGGAGGAGGAGGAGAAGGGAAGGAGTAGTAGTAGTAGTAGTTGTAGTAGTACTAGTAGTAGTAGGCGGGGGAGTGACGGAGAGGAGTGACAGCAGCCACTAGTAGTAGTAGTTGTATGAGGAGGGGTGACGGAGAAGTGAAGGAGGGAGGGGAGGAGTGACACCAGCCACTACTGGTAGTAGTAGCAGTAGTAGTAGTAATAGTAGTAGTAGTAGTAGTAGTAGTAGTAGTAGTAGTAGTAGTAGTAGGAGGAGGAGGAGGAGTGGAGCAGGCACCGCAATCGACAGAGAATGTATATAGCAGAAGTGATAGCAGGACCAACAGTGGCAGCAGAAGGGGCTGCAGCTGTGATAGCAGCAATGGCAGCAGGAGGTGATTGTAGACATGTGTGGTGAATCCTCTCTCTCTCTCTTCCTCTTTTTCTTTTTTTTTTGAACTGTATTTGTCTGTTTCTCCCGTTACTTTGGGGGTCGTATTTCTATCATCCACAACGGTTCTCCATTCCTGCACGCTTACATTTTACTCGGTAGTTGTAGTAGTAATAGTAGCAGTGGTTGTTGCAGTAGTAGCAGCAGTAGTGGTGGTGGTAGTAGTAGTAGCAGTAGTAGAAGAAGTGGTGGTGGTGGTGGTAGTAGTAGTAGCAGTAGTAGCAGAAGTAGTGGTGGTGGTGGTGGTAGTAGTAGCAGCAGGTGTGGCAACAAAAGTACCGTCTTCACCTGAATAGAACGCCTGGTCATTATAGCTGTCTTTGGGCCAATTTTTGGTCGAGATACAGCTATAATGACCGGGCGGTCTATTCACGTGAAGACTGTAGTGAGCAACTTGATGGTAGTTGCAGCACTAGTGCAAAATACTAGATTAGTGGTAGCAGTAGTATGAGTGGCAGCTGTAGAGGTATACTACCTGTAGCAGAGCCACAATCCCTGAGAATGCCCGCAGGGGCCCTTTCTGGCATTTGAAGGGCTTGGTAGTGGTGTGCAGCCCATGGTGCCTCGACCACGATTACCGGGACACTAACCCTTAAGAGTACCCCAGGGGGTCTTAGGCCCCCTCTGGCGCAAATGCATATGGACCCGTGTCGCGCACCGATTCAGCCTCCGCGTTAACGCCTAAAAACGTGGTGGGTATCAATACCCCAGGGGGTCTTAGGCCCCCTCTGGCGCGCACGGATTCAGCCTCCGCGTTAACTCCTGAAAACGTGGTAGGTACTGGTGAGGCCTTCCTGCATTTCTCCCGTATATTGGACAGCCGTTTTTTCGCTGTCTGAGAATGCCTGCAAGGGCCGGCATGGTAGTGGTGTGCTGCCCATCTGGTCTGCTTTGGCCTGCGGCCGGCTTGATACGTACTCGATGGGAAGATTTTCTTCAGGTGAAAATCACCCGCCCGATACTGATCTGCTTTGGCCTGCGATTACGCAAAACCAAGCCATATAGTGAGTGAGGCCACCCCTTGTTTTTCTGGTTGGAAGCCGCAGGAGAGGATGCATGCTCTCCTTGCCGACTCCTCCTCTCTATTGTCATGTGGAGCCGTGGACGTCGCCAACTTTGAAGGATAACAGTTCATGCACCATACATAACACTTAAGTCTCTCAGCTTTCTGCGTTCAAAAACACTTTTACGTCTCTCAGCTTCACCGTGTTTGGAGACGCCTTTCGAGTACAACTGACCTAGTCTCTCAGCTTCACCGTGTTTGGACACGCTTAGAGTACAGGTGACCTCCCTATTGTTCAAGAGTCCTATGTTCTTCCCTTCTGGAAGTACGCTTTTTGCTGGTGATTGATGTCCTTCCCCGAATTAAGTTAACAGTTCTTTTGTTTCAGTCATGTTACCCCCACCTTTACCCCCCTGGGCATGGGAAGACCTCATTTTGAAACAACAGACTAAGACTAAGTATAAGACTAAGTATTTTGCCCAGAATTCTTGGTGACAGCCTAGTAACTGTGTCTGTGTCTGCCAAAAAGGTGGAAGGAGCTCTGTATGGAGTGCAGCGGGACTGAAAGTTGCCCACAGGCCAAACTACCGTCTTCCCCCGAACACAACGCACCCTTATTTTGGCTGTATCTGGCCGCACATATAGCTTGTATACGTTCATTTTTAGGGTGCGTTATGTTCGGGGGAAGACGGTAGTGTTATGCATGCATGTGTGTGTGTGTGTGTGTTGTGTGTGTGTGTGTGTGTGTGTGTGTGTTTAACCCCCCAAAATTCTCCCTCCTTTCATTCCATCCGCGAATCACAATAAACCATCCCTTTGTAATAGATAGGCAAGATAAGAATGCAAGGTTGTAGTTAGTTATGGATCCGTACATCTTGGCCTAAGCCCTCCTCCATGCAAGCATGGATTCAAATCGGTGGCCTCGGCCTCAAGAGCCAAGTCTCGTAACCACTACAGCCAGGACACGGTGTTCAAAAGTGGAACCATACCGGTCATGATATCCACCCCTACTCCTGCAAGGCTGTAGTGTCCAACTCGACGCACACCACACTCAACACCCACGGACACGGCAATTCTCGCACACTTCGCTCCAATCAATACGTAACCCCCACTGGTACTTAGCCCGCTCACTTCTCCGGGATACCTTATGCTGTGCTGCCCGGCAGTTCACGGGAGCCTTGGCCACGTTTGTGTGGTTCAGTGCAAAGTGTGTGTGTGTGTGTGTGATCGTCACTCGGGTAGAAACAACATGTTTTCAGGGAGTATTGAGAACATGGGGATTGTTGCATAAAGTTGAGGTGCTCACTGAAGATGTTGTTTTGGAAAATTTCCGAACCGTTCTGCTGACTACAACCAGGGATGTCAGAGAAATTGTGTTTTTTTTTTGGCTCTCTGTTGTTTGTCACCTTTGGTGGTTGGCTTCTCACTTGTGTTTAGTTCGTCTGTCCATTGGGCTTTGGCCCGAATGTGATGATTGGGTTTGACATGTGAGGATTTGGCGTTCGGTCTGATTTTGGGTCCCACCATTTACAGATTCTAAAAGTGTGGAAATTTGTTGTTCTTGCCACCTGTCAGTACAGTGGTCATATCATCATTTGGAGCAGTGTGTCTGGGAGTAGCGATTGGCATTTGGAGGCGGGTCGCTGTCACTCTGTGCCGCGTACGACTGTACTCACCAGGGATGGGTGTGCAGTTCAGTTGATCGTTTTGATCTGTCGTGTGGGCCGTGATCCGTGTCCTTGAGTCTGGCGGTGCTGGAACCTTGACACTGGTGATGGCAGGGGCAATGTCCGGTTTCAGTACCCGTGGTGCGCGGGCCGTGGTCCATTCCAAAAACAGTGCTAGAGTGATGCTGTCGAGATTGACAGCGACAAAGGGGAAAGGTTTCAATGCCGCCTCATTCAGCGGTTGTGGCTCTTCGCTCTTTTCGACTTCCATCACCTCTTCCTCCCCCATCTCTGGTGCCGTCTCTCGGTCGCAATCGTCCCGACTGACCTCTTCTTTGTGTCCTTCGTCGTCTTCCACCTCTTCTCCTTCTTCTTGCCGTTTATCCTCGTCCTTTACACCCCCACTTGCTCGCTCCTCCACGTCGGCTTGTTCGTCGTCTTCATCCTCTTCTTCATTATCATCTGTATCTCGCACGTCATCGCCCTCTAGTATGTGCACAACTTCGCCGGCACGTTCTTCCCCCAATGCTGCTTCGACTAGGCGACAACCAGCTTCGGTCAGGCCGAGGACTGGCTGCGAGTCTGAGAAACCGGTTGGTCACAGATGGCGTACAACCGATCCAATGAGTTCCCGCTCTCTTCTCCCTCGGTATGCAGCTCTGGCCGCTGCTCAACTTCTGCACAGGCTGAGTGTTAGCGAAACTGGATGCCTTTCTTTCATTCAAGATGACGACGGTACATAACTATGTCCACTTGTTTCTAAATGAAACATGGAAGACTAGAAAATTAGGCTATTGGAGCATTTTTTGGGTCAATGTGGAATGGCTACTGACATCTCTGAGATATATCGCGAGGAGGCAATTGAAGTTTCTTTATCCCTCAGGCAAAGTGCGAACATAACAATTCTTTGGGTTTTCAGATAACAGGACGTAATAACAGAAAAAAGAACTCGTCTTTGTGAAGGTTCTAGTCTCGAGGTAGACGACATGGTTTTGTCCTTCTTCAGATATTGTTCACTACCGTGTACTTGGTTGTTACCGTACTTGGTTGTTACCGTACTTGGTTGTTACCGTGTACTCGGTTGTTACCGTGTACTVGGTTGTTACCGTGTACTCGGTTGTTACCGTGTACTTGGTTGTTACCGTGTACTTGGTTGTTACCGTACTTGGTTGTTACCGTGTTAGCCATCACTGTTGATCCATGGCTGACTGAAAGCTTGCCGTCGGGTTGATTGGTGATGTGGAATAAATGATGCCAGGCTTCTTTTGCTGCTGAGGAATTGTTTTGAAGCCTGTTCAGAGATTTCTTTTTCGTCGAACTAATGACATGCTTTTTGCAGCCTGGGAGAATAGGAGAGGAGCTTCATCCGACCAAGACGAATCTCTTTCTTGAGTTTGCATATCCAGGTCTTGCATGTGTGTGTGTGTGTGTGTGTGTGTGTGTGTGTGTGTGTGTGTGCACACACGCGCACACACACACACACACACA